AGCCGGAGGTACCGGTTTAGATTTACAGATGCTGCAGAAGCAGCAAAACCCATGAAGAGGAAGAGGCAGTTCTTCATCTTTTTTTATTGTTTTGCACTATATAAGTAGGATGACTTTTGCGGTCATCTCAGCGACCTATGGGAAATGGCGAATGTATATATGCCTCAGGTACCGGGCGAGGTTCGTCAGGGACTATAAATGGTACAGCGGGGTGGAGTTAAAGTTACAACATTGACACTCGGCCCGTTACTAATCTGACCTGCATTATGGCTGGTAATGAGACTCATTGAGGAATTCCAAACAGGATTTCCTCGACTGGGTAACAATATTCCAACCTTAAGCAGCTAAATTCTGAGATCAACAGCATATGAAAAGAAATCTCAACTCCTAAAAAGAATAATATGGTAGCCACACTCACAAACAGACCGACGGGCATGGCTAAATATACACAGCTCACTTCTAGCAATCATAAACATCGGTTATATAACAATTTCGTGTTCATGCAAGGTTTATAAAATTCGAATAGCAAATGTAAGGCCGATGTTACATCATTTCTATTAGTGAACTTATACTCACTGCTATGACTGTATGATACGAAAACCGCCATTTATCGTGACTGTCAAATTATTTGGCAATAAGATTCATATCACATCTATTTCGAATTTTACGATAATTACACAAATAACAGTCAGTTCGAACAACCACCCAAACAAATCAATGACTTTGCGGCACTTGTGAGAAATATAAATATATAAACAGAAATTGCGCGGCGCCCACAAATAAATACACTTGAGCACAAATTTCTACTTTCACCTGCGGCTGTGTAAGAGAAAAAAAACAAACGTGACTTATTATGCAGCCATACGAAGAAACAATAAAACTACTTGGGAAAAAGAAAACAAAGAAAACAACATACGCGTACAGAGATGTCTAACGCGAGTGATTCACTCGCTTTTTGGCTTTGTATGAAGCCTGCCAACGACCAGCTAACAACATTTATTTAATTTAATTAATAAATAAAAACTTAATCAAGATTAATTAATTTAAATGTAAGTGCTTGTAAATGTGTCTTGAGGCTGCGTGCTGGCAATAAAAATAAATGTTAAGGATGATACAATTAGCACTAACAATGCAACATTAACCAACACCAACACCGACAGCAGCAACAACATAGCAGCAGTGCAGAAGGTTGAAGGTGAAGAAGATGTGGTGTGAGGCTGTCACTTGGTAAGCTGAATGGTGTGAGTGCAGCTGCATGTTGCAAGTGCAATCACATTTGAAGTCTCTATTTATATATGCATAAGAGAGCTGCAATTGCAGACGGTGCTGTGGTTTTTTTTTTGTATGTAGGTATTTGCGCTCAGACACGCTGACAAGCCAATGTACAGTGACTAACGAAGCGCTATATGCTGTACAGCTGGGAAACTGATGAGAAAATGTGCATATATGAACACACACGCATACATATGTATGTATGTACCTAAATGTATGTTTGTTTGCAAAAATTGCTTAGGCTCTTTTATGCCTTTGCGAGTGTCAAAATAATTTAGGTGAAACGAGTAAAAATATCCACAAAATTCCCCACCTAGCAGGCAATAATGCCACTTGCGTGGGTTTAATGACACGCTGCCTAAGCTGTTGACTGATTGTCATACAAAGAGGTGTGTTGTCCTCGTTATCGTGCAACAATGTTGCTAAACTCTGTACACATTTAAAAATAATTTTTACGAGTATTTGCATAGCAGCTGCTATTTCGTATGCAAATATTTACACTTGCCATATATGTATGTATGTACGTACATAAAATATTTGCTCGAAACACTTTTTCATGTAAATCCATTATTTTTACGTGTTTTCTGCAGTTATTACAACCTATTTGCATCTAAATTATGAAAATCTTACACAAATCTTAGGCAGTGATTTATACGCAGCTGAAGGCAGTGGAAAACTAGTCGGATAAAAATAAGAAAAATGAGCAAGCACGCGCAGCTCTGAAGTTGTGTTCACACGCACAATATTTTTTTTTTTTTGTAATGTTCATTGCACCTGCCGCACAGTGTGGAAAAAAAAAACTTTTTTCCATTAAAATCTAATATCTCGGCAGATAAAAAATATTAACTTGACCTTTAAAATGACCTCAAAAATGAAGAGGATTTAAATTTTTTTTTGACCTGAAGACAGTATGCAATAAACTTTTTAAATAGTTTTAAACATATACTTTTGCGGTTCTTGCTTAAAGGAATACTTTTCTGGTCGCAAATGCCGAAAAATGCATTTTAATTAAAAAAAAGACAAAAAATCTAAAATTTTACTTTTGAAAACTTCTAATTTTTTGTTTTTTTTTCACCTTAAAACAGTATGACCTTAAAAAAGTGTAAATGCGGATTTCGGTTCTCCCGACCATACAAATTGATCCCTTGTTGCAAGAACAGCCAAACTATATGTTTCAGAATTTTTTAAAAGTACATTGCCTACAATTTTGATGTCAAAATTGAAAATCCTGAAATTCTTCTATTTTTGAAGGGCATTTTAAAGAACAGGGTTTTTTTTTTTAATCCAACGAGATTACTTTTCCTTAATTTTTCATCTCAAAAGCTATAAAATACCACCACTTCGCTACCTGCTCCCCTTCTCGAGATATTCGATTTTGTCAAAAAAAATTAATTTTCCACACTGTGAGTCGGTTATTTGGTCTATAGCATCAACAATTTGTAGCTAGTTATGATCAGTATATTGTAAATGATCAAAAATCGACTAAAAGCCGCTATAGAGAAAGTATTTGCATAATATCGAATCGAATGAACGATTGTTGTATAAAGCAAATATTTTTAGGTTCGCTGCTTAAGTCTTTTGTTTACGCTCAAAATAGAGAAAAATGTTAAGGCCTAAAATTACAAACCCAGATTAAAAATGAAGCACTTTAAATCGCAATATGTGACTACAACACGTTTTTATCACTCATTTACCTCATTTATTAATTGCAATATTTGGCTCAATTCATATAAATTCATTGTACGCCAGTATTTCGCCGATATGTGACCGTTTTCCATACATTTTAGTCCATTTAACAATGACCCATAGCATTCGAACAAGTTAAATGTAGAGGTGTACATACATATGTGTATGCATTTACACAAATATTTACATTCATAGTTGCATAAAAACCTACAATTTCATGTACATAAATTTGATTAGCTGAAAGGTTTTCGAATATAACAATTGTTTGCATTATTATACAGCAAGGTTGTCAATTCTTTGTTTTGAAGGCAACTTCGTTTATCATTCCTTTTTTCTGCATTATTTTCATGTCAATCAGCTGTTTAAGTCTTTTTGTGTCTGTCTAACAATTGTGCAAATGTGTGGCTTTATAAATTGAGTTGTGACAGATTTTTTGTTTGACAAAATTTTACTTTATTTTTTGGTTAGGTAAAAATGAGGTTGTACGTGGGAAAGCAACGTGATTCACAGCTGCTGTAATCAGATAACTGTCAAATGAAAAATTGTGAGAAATTGCATTCTACTCAAAATACACGGAGAAGAGGAATTAATCATATGTGGGTGCTTTTAAGTAGACTGGATTGAATAGAGCGATGCAAGACGTGGTTTTTGTTGTAAAACTTCTTTGACAAAATGTAGCTTAGGTTATTATCACCTTATTCTCGATAATTGTACACTACCAAAGGAAATAAGACAGCATTTTTGATATAGCAGTTCAACAGAGCTGCTTTAAATGAAAAAATGCATAAACCACATAATAGTTGCAAATAGGTGGAGAAATATCGTTGCGAATGTGAATACAAATACAGAACGATTTTTACAGAGATCGAAGTCGATAAATATGGATTAGAGACATAACAATATCGATAAGTAAGATAATAATAGAAAGGGATCGGATGTTCACCGCATATTAATAAAGATAATGCTATCGAAAATAATTTAGGTTACAATAGAATGCGCCAAGGTGAAGTGTACCCAGATAATTTCGCCATGTCAAGGATTTTCGTAAACACTATATCATTGTAAGGTATTTATAATCCTTATACGTGTCGAAACGCAGCAAAAGAGCAACGACTGGCGCGCTTTGTTGGACTCGGCCAAAATGGCTTAGGCAGTTACTGCGCCAATCAAGAAAATGAGGAAGAAGTTAACTCATGTTCGGTAGTTAACTGTTGATTTTGAGTATAAAAAAAGAAAAGTTAACTGGCAAAAAAGAGTTAACTCTTAAACTCGTAAAATATTGTAAACGAAGTATAACAACCCTGGAAACCAAAGCTCCCGAAATCTTAACGAAATCTTTAGGAGTTTCTCATTTATGTAACGATTTTTTACGAATCTTCAAGGAAAATTCTATGAAGTGGTTGACACGACCTCGTTAAGAAATTTCTGTACAAAAAATAAAGAATATTCTGAAAAAATACTGCAAGAAATTCTTCACATTGCAGCATTATTTTCATTGCTTTACCGATTTTCTTCCGAAATTTCATATAAGAATCGAAGTGTGCACAGTTTATTTAATTTTAGAAAATTCGACAAAAAAATCGGATGAGATCTTTACGAATTCTTTTAAGTTTCTCTACAGTTCAAAATACTCTGAAAAAATGGTAGATTCATATGTAAAGAGCTTGATACTTTAACTCGGAGTTTAGTTTCATAAATTACATTATACGGCAAAGAGTTAGAAATTAACATAGAGTTAAAATTTAAAATGTGTATATAAGCCAGCAGTTTTTGAGTTTAATTTGCTAAAAAGAATGCAAAGTTAAATTTACTTTAAATCACAGTTAAGGTCAGATGTTTTCAACTAACTGCTTTTCTTGGGGGGTTAAACCACCCTGAAAAAAAGGAAATTAAGAATGTTTTATTTCGAAATTCAAAGTACTTCGGAAGTTATAGCAGTTAGAAGTAGAAGTAGTAGAAAGGCAGCGAAAGGCGGTACATTTGATTTAACGCTTAAATTATATTTTAAGACAAATAAAAAATTAAATATTTTTCCAACTCACCTTCACATTTGATTGCTGTAGTTGCAAGAATGTGGCTATTCCATTGCGCACACGATTCTTGACGCCGCGCACCGTTCCCTTCGACGAGCGTATTGTCGATGTGGCCGAACCGCAACGTATATCCTTATAGCCCGCGAAGGCATCGTCGTGCAAGCTTTTTGTTTCGTATTCGGAAAGACTTTCCAAATCATCACCCCCAAGATTGGCTGCAGCACCAATATCGAAACTACGGAAATTTTCATGCTCCTTCACATGGAAATCGTAATATTTATCTGCTTCGTATTTGCGCGGCATCGAGTTCATTTTTGTATCGACGAATGTACCGTTTTCCGCGTTTAAAATGAATGTTTTATTTGGCAGCGAAGCGCGTTTATTATGGTGCGTATTGTTAATGCCAATATTGTTGCTATTGCGTTCCTTTAAGAATTTCACATGTTCAATATTAATATAGTCCGGTTCGTTGAGCGCATTTGGCAAAGTAGTTGTATGTGCATCCGCATCGACATCACTGCCGCCATCAGCGCTGCCTGCACTACCACCGCCACCACCACCACCACTACCACTACTACCACCATCGCCATATTTCGCCTCAAAATCATTTGTAGGAAATTTTCGATCGCGTATATCGCGCAACAAAGAATCTGGCAGAAAGGCGCCCAACATTTTGACACGCGCGGCTGTTGCGGCATTGCCGCAGGCTTTCTGAGTTGTTGGCGAAACGGAAGACTGGCGTATGAATTCGGTGGAGTGAAGCGAATCACAGCTGAGGGAAGACGATTCGCTTTCCTCGCTATCCGTGAAACTGCCAGCGCGTGCATGATCACCATTTGTATGCGATTTGCTGTTAACGGAGTTGGACGAGTCCAGCGCCGACTTCTTAACGCTGCCATTTAAGCGAATTTTGGTGGCCTTCAGATGTAATTCCATTTTGGGTGCAGTGCCATCTAAACCCTTCTGTGAAGAGCAGTTAGCCGCTGCGTTTAATTTCTCAAGTGTACTCTGCAGTTTGCTCTGCGGTGACGGTGTTCCAGGTGTTAGATTGCCATTGCTCTCCAGATCACTGCCAGTGCCACTGTCTAAAGTATCGCAAGGCGAAAACTGGCCGCTCGACATAACATAGTACAAGTACGAAGGATGTGACACATTTAGTTCGGTGACGGTTGTATTGCCCGAGGTGATCGCGTTGCTACTAGCGTGTCCGTTACTATTGCCATTACCGTTATATTTACCGTTAGCCATTGCGCCTGCATTCGAATTCAAGTTTGCATTTGCGTTTGCGCTTGCATTTGCATTCCCGCCCGACACGGTTACCGCGCCCGAATTCAGAATTGTCGTCGATGTCAATGTGGTTGCCAATGGCGTTGCCGTTAACGACATCGATGTAATTGGCTTTTGCACCATTTTCTCGTCGTTTCTCGAATGTAGATCGTTCGCACTTTCACCCGTCGTTGTTAGTGGACGCGCACAATTTTTCTCTTCAATAGTTTCTGTTATGTGCACTGGAATTTTATGTGTTAATTCTTTAGATTGACTTATTTTTGTGGGATTTTGTTCTTGTGGGACTTGTGCCTCGTTAAGGGTCACCACTGTCACCTGGTTTTTGTTATGTTTATTCACTTTTTCTGGTTTAATTTGTATCTTCAGCACATGCAATTGCGTAGAATCCGCATTTGTTTGATCAGTATTGCGTCTGCGCAGAGTATCTGTTTCTGTTTCTGTTTCGGTGAGTGCACTTGCACAATCTGCTTTCGTTGCCGTGATTGAACTATTCGCGGCGATCGCATTCGACTTCGCGTTCACGTCTGTGCTTTCCAGCTGCTGTTGGACATCTGCATTGCGCAGACCACTGCCAGCTTCATGGTGATCGCGTTCGCTACCGCCAAAGCCATTCGGACAAATACGTTCAAACGCGTTTTGACCATTTCCAACAACACTAGTCACACAACTTTCGTCGTGATATATATTAGAAGCCACATTCGTAGACGCAGTCGCAGTCGCAGTCGCAGCCGCAGCCACAACAAGTGATCCAACATGATTATGATCAATATTATTATTTGCTCGCTTATGTGCATCTTCATTATGCTCTACGCTCTTGCCGTGATGATGTTCATCATCACCATTGCACTGTATGATCATTGGGCCGCGCTGGCTGGTTTGACCATTTATGGTCGTTTTTATTGTTGTTTTCGTATTTGCCATAGTCGCAGACGAGCTTGTCGCGGCGCTCTTTCTATTTTGGTCATTTATGCTCGCAACACCTGCAGACTCGGCCTCTGCCTCGGCAACATTTCTATTTACTTGCGATTTTCCAACAGTAATTCTAGCGCCAACTGAACTATCTTCGTTTCCATCCGTTTTGCGCATTTCTTCGGAGTTGGCGCCGCCACGATTGCTCTGTCCATTATTGGCTTTTCCTCTCTCACTCGCCACTTTCAATAGCAGTTGTGGAAAATTTGGAACTGCTGTAGATGTTGTTATTGTTTGCTTGATTGTGGAATAACTAGTTTTCTGATCGTTGACGTACTCACCACTTTGTATGGTAAACAAACGACGTTGCATGCGCTCATCATTGGCGCGTTCGTAATGAGTGACAGTATCATTGCTATTTGTACGTTCATCATCATTCAGGTAATTATTATCATCGTTAACACCAATTCGCATTGTAGTTTCTTTTGTTGTTGCCACCAATTTACTTTGCTGTGGCTGCAATTTTGTGACCACTGTTCTAGTTATTGCCGTCGATGGTGTTGGTGCCATTTGTGTTGTAGTTGTTGTACTTGTATTCTGATAGATTGTGATCTTGCCATTTTCCGCTTTCTGTGACGGCCTTAACGTTTCTTGTTGACAATTGACGATGAGTGGCCGGTGCTGCTGCTGCTGCTGCTGCTGTTGTTGTTCTTGTTGTTGTCGCTTTGTTGCTTGGTCTTGGTCAATTACAATTGAGATGCCACGCGCTGGTGTCGCACTCGTGTTTATAACAGTTTTAGTTGCCATTATTGTAGTTTTGGTTTTGTACGTTTCTCTTTTTTGTGTTTGATCGAATTTAGGATCTTTCGTCGCTCGTAGTCTACCTGTCTAAATGCTTTAAATTGCTGCTGATTGCAAATCGTTTGATTACTTGTTTTTCTGATTCTTATTTTTCTTTTTCCTTCTTTTCCTCACCTTTGTTGTAACCACACAATTGTTGATCTTTCTCGCAGCCTCTTGGCCCCTGCGTACGACGCGTTGTGGCCTATGCAAAATCAGTTGGCAGTTTTTACGACGTGTCTTCCTCGCCGAGCTTGCTTTTCCGCATCTGACACCTCTTCGTTTGCCTAGCTGCTTAGCTGCTTAGCTGCCTGGCTGACTTCGTCTATTTACTTTGTTCTTTTGCTTACAACTTTGATCTGCAACACCTTTCTTCTGCTACTGCGGCTTTTGTGTAGCGTTTCTTCGTTGTCGCTTCTTTGTGGTTGTAGCGTGATATGCAGTTATGCAATTTGCGGCATGTAATATAATCGTTGTTACTCCCTAACAGTTAGTTATACACACTTACATAACATATGTACATATGTACACGTTAGTCACTAGATAGACTCGTCTGCATTTGCAATTTTCTTCATGCACTTCCTTATTTGATGACTTTATATTTTTCTTTGGTTGATTTCATTGTTTCCTCTTATCGTTTTTGCGAAAGCCCATCGCTGTACTTTTGATCTTATAACGACTTTTTTCTTTATAAGTGTTTGCAATTTTAAGTAGCAATTATTGCAATAAAACTGCAGGTGATTATTTGATTTATTGTATTTTTTACTAACCCTTGCAGCTGGGTTGTGCAGAGTTCGTAGTTTTATAATTTCGAGTGTTTTTATGATTTTTATTGTGTCTGTAAAGATAGTAAAAAGTTGTAAAATGTTAATTTTTAATGGTTTTACAAAGCGTACAAAATAGGGTTATAAAGAGTAAGCCAAAGGCTAAATCTTATATATAAATAGGCAAACATGTTTTCTTTACACCCCTTTTACGGCTAAAGTATACTTCCGAAGAATAGAGAATTATATATCATTNACGTTTCTCTTTTTTGTGTTTGATCGAATTTAGGATCTTTCGTCGCTCGTAGTCTACCTGTCTAAATGCTTTAAATTGCTGCTGATTGCAAATCGTTTGATTACTTGTTTTTCTGATTCTTATTTTTCTTTTTCCTTCTTTTCCTCACCTTTGTTGTAACCACACAATTGTTGATCTTTCTCGCAGCCTCTTGGGCCCCTGCGTACGACGCGTTGTGGCCTATGCAAAATCAGTTGGCAGTTTTTACGACGTGTCTTCCTCGCCGAGCTTGCTTTTCCGCATCTGCCGGTGCTGCTCTGACACCTCTTCGTTTGCCCAGCTGCTTAGCTGCCTGGCTGACTTCGTCTATTTACTTTGTTCTTTTGCTTACAACTTTGATCTGCAACACCTTTCTTTTGCTACTGTGGCTTTTGTATAGCGTTTCTTCGTTGTCGCCTCTTTGTGGTTGCAGCGTGATTTGCAGTTATGCAATTTGCGGCATGTAATATAATCGTTGTTACTCCCTAACAGTTAGTTATACACACTTACATAACATATGTACATATGTACATGTTAGTCACTAGATAGACTCGTCTGCATTTGCAATTTTCTTCATGCACTTCCTTATTTGATGACTTTATAATTTTCTTTGGTTGATTTCATTGTTTCCTCTTATCGTTTTTGCGAAAGCCCATCGCTGCACTTTTGATCTTATAACGACTTTTTTCTTTATAAGTGTTTGCAACTTTAAGTAACAATTATTGCAATAAAACTGCAGGTGATTATTTGATTTATTGTCTTTTTTTACTAACTCTTGCAGCTGGGTTGTGCAGAGTTCGTAGTTTTATAATTTCGAGAGTTTTTATGATTTTTATTGTGTCTGTAAAGATAGTTGAAAGTTGTAAAATGTTAATTTTTAATGGTTTTACAAAGCGTACAAAATAGGGTTATATAGAGTAAACCAAAGGCTAAATCTTATATATAAATAGGCAAACATGTTTTCTTTACACCCCTTTTACGGCTAAAGTATACTTCCGAAGAATAGAGAATTATATATCATTGAAAAGGTATTTTGACGCTGATGTGCAGAGACTTACTAAAATCTCAAATCAATTTAAAATAAAGCGCCAAAATCAATTCAAAAATGACACCAATACGAGTACCATACATGTACATGGTTGGGGCGGAAATGCCTCCTAATTGTATGCTTTAATATTGATGATACTGAATTAAAGAAAAGTGCTAAGCAGCAGTTGAGGAATAAATTTTAAGTAGATTAAAATTCATGCCAGGAAGAAATGCAAGGAAGAAGGTAAAAGTGAGTATCAAGATTCTACAAGAAGAAAGGCATAAAGGCAAAGATTAAAACGGCAATTGTGGGTATGAATAAGTAGATGAAGAAAAAAATAAAGATTAAGATCAGGATATACGTAAAGGTAGAGTTAAAGATAAAGATACAAATGAAAAGTTAGATATAGATATAATATAAAAACAAGTAAGAAAGTCTAAGTTCGGGCGGAGCCGAACATTAAATACTCGTCGCATCCGGGGTGTATAAATTTTGAGTAAATTAGCGTCCTTAAATTTCGAAATATTGAAGTTTCATGCATTTCTGAAATATACCGCTATATGAAAATCGGCCGTAATTTTAGTCCGATTTCAACAATTTTCAACGTTTTGCTTTTAGGAGTTTGGTACAAATTGCTAGAACGGTTACAGAGATGCAAATATGTGATCATAAGTGGGCGGTGCCACGCCCATTTTCCAAAATTTTATCATAAACGTATTTCCTGGTAAAGAATTGTTGCAAGCATTAATTTTGAATAAATTAGCTTTAATATTTACTGATTTATCGAGGATTTCGTATTTTTCTAAATTACCGTTATATGGGTTGTGGGCGTGGTTATTGTCCGATATTTAAGTCCTCTTTCATTTGATACCAAACTTGTTTAATTTGGATAAGCGGTTTTTTTATTACCCCGAAAAGATTTTAATTTCGGAATAATATTCGCAACAACCCTGGTGTAAATGATAAACTCATTTTTGTATTATGAATAAAGAAACTTATCGAAATTGAAAAAAAAAATAATAATGAGCATACACAACACACCAACTATAAAAAAAAACCAATTCATAAGTGAATACAAGTGTACGTAGGTATGTGAAATCATGCAAATGTAATGTCACATCAAGCCATGCGCGAAAATCGTGCAAAAGCACAATTAAAAATGTTTTATTGTAATCAGACTTTATACAGTTAGCGAGAATATGTACATATATATTAAAAAATAATTATCTGCCAAGCGAGTGCATATTAATTTGTCCCTAAACACTTGAAAGAATGGGTTTAATAAAAATGAGATCGAGAAATTGTTGAAGAGGCAAATGGTCGATAGACAGCGCTATATTCTATGCAGATTTATACTACTGCGCAGTCGCAGCAAGCAACAAATACCGAAAAGACATTTGGAATTTCCGATAGTAAATTAATACAAAAATTAGCATTTAAAACACATTATTAAACATTGGGTGACATAATTTTAATGACTTCAAAATGATTGAGTTACAAGAAGTCAAAAATTAGGGAAGATTTTTTTTTCATTGCCAATAAAAACTGCGTTTTATACCATAAAAAAGGGTTTACTATTCTAGAAAAACGAACGTTTTAATTGAAATTTTAGTAATTTGCCAAAGTCGGTATAACAAGCGGTAGCTATTAGAATCAATAGGCAATATCTGCCTAAATAAATTCTCAATAATAATTTAAATATGTTAAGTATTTTATATTAAGATAAGAAGCTGGATCGCTAATGAGCGCAAGTCGCGTCACCAATTGTCATGCTAATGGACCAAAACTCGCATCTGATTTAACGTGTTGGGATAGAAGTAAACACATAAAATAAAAAAATAATATATTATTATTTATGAACAAAAAAACACATTATTGTAGTCACTAGTATTTACATATATACTATATATGCATGTACATTAGAGTGGTCCAAAAAGAATAAAGTCGGAATTTTAATGACGTCACTCCCTAAGATTGTTCTGAACCGAAAAAGATATTCCCCTATTTTTTTTTTGAAATCAAAAAATATTTAGGGAGTGCTCAAAGCGCTCAAAGTTTGCCATGTATTGGGGAAAAAACAACTTTTCGTAGAAATGGTATAAAATTCTTGAAAAGCTATATTTTTCGATCAGAAAACTGACCGGAGCGGGGTGCATCTTTGGCATCAAAATTTCCGCAATGGAATCGAGCGAACCACTCACGGGGTCCGACGTTCACTCACAGTATTCTCACCGTAAACTTCATAAATTTTGCAGCATTCTCATCTTTTTTATAGTAAAAAAAAAGCATCACATAGCGTATTTCTTCACATATTTCAATCAGTTCCAAATCAATATAAATTTTTGTAGGAGCGCCAAATTACAGAACTGTCTGCACTAAAATGTAGCCTGAAATGTCATCTTTCTAAGGCACGTCGGTTTATCGTATGTTGTTGGAATAGTGTTACCAGATGTGTAGGCATAAATAGTGAAAAAAAATCCTCAGAGACTTTTCAATTGGTATGTATTATTCTGAATATTAGTTATGGTCTTAGTCCTACCAATCGTTTTCGTTTTCGTCTTCGTTTTCATATTCGACTTCGTATTCATCTTTATATTCGTCTTCGTCTTCGTCTTCGCCTTCTCATTCATATTAATTTTCGAATTCGTTGTCGTCTTCGTAATCATCTTTGTATTATTCTAAGTATTCATTTTCTTATTCGTCTTAATCTTATTATTCATCTTCATTTACGTATTCGTTCCCGGCTCCGTATTCGTCTGTGTATTCTTCTTCGCATTCGCATTCGTTTTTGGCTTTGTAATTTTCTAGCTTTTCGCCTTCGCTTTCGTCTCCGTATTCGACTTGGTGCTCGTGCCTCTGCGTAGCACATTTTGATAACACAGGTCCACAAAAAAAAATCGATGAAAGGTTCTTTTGACCAAACCTAGTCTGTTATATGTGTTTGGGGTCGCTGAACACGAATCTTTTGAATTTTGCGTGACAGAGAAAATCCGAGGTGTTTCTTGAGGTTAGACGTGATGGAGCAAAACGGACTTCAGATTCGTGTTCAGCTACCCCAAATATATGCAATAGCCTAGGTTTGGTCAAAGGAATCTTTCATCGACTTTTTTTTGTGGACCTGTGTAATTAACTCTCGACCAGTGGAACTAGATCAACACAAAAATTTAAGCTAAATTGGTTTTGAAAAGGGTAAGAAGAAATTATATGCTATCAAAAATTAATTTAAAAAGATTTCAATATATTCCCAAAAAAAAACTCTTCACCAACTCCACAAGTTCTGTGTTATTTTTGAACGGTAAAAGGTAGTATTTGAAATATTAAGAATTTTTAGTATTGCCAGTCGGAATTTCATTATGAAATTTTTGAGTAAAAAAGGATAGAAAAAAGCTTCAAAAAGGCAAACCTGGCCACACTGCTCTCGATGCTCTTCAAGATGGAAATAGAGAAATCGGAAATCGCTGCGTTTCGGTTGAATCCAAGGGACATACAATTTCCATGACGATTTTTTAATTCACTATCCCCCGCTAAGAAGTTTCCCTTCAATACTGGATAGATAAAAAAAGTGGTCATAAAGAATCAGAGAAAAGGCCATTCTTCTACTTTTTAATTCTCGTTGAATGTTACAACCTTAACCAACAATTATTGCTGCTAAACAATAAATTAACTAGGTTTACGACTAATTATATGCATTAAAACATATAAAAGAAAATAAATAAAACAAAGACAACTTTTTATTAGTCGGAAGGTTCGCTGGGTTTAGGCGTCATTACATACTTTATTTTTATAATTATGTATATATAAAATATAAACACACACCGATAGCACTTGCTAGCAAGAAACTCCAAGGTAGGTATGTGTATGTATATAGCTAAAAATAAATGTGAATTCAAGACAGCATTTGCATTTTTTTTTATTATTGATGAGATTGCAGTCAGGTTGGTTGTTTAGGTGCCTGATTTGCTAGCTGTGTAATGAGAAGTCGCAGTGGCCGCAGTGCCGCAGTGGAACAGTGAGGTACACCGAAACTGGTATGAAGTCAACTTTATATATATTGAGGCCGGTTCCGAAGTAAGGCAACTCAAAGTCAAGTAAACGCTTTAAAATTAAGCATGCCACGACAAGGCTGCATGCCAGACGTCCTTACAGCAAAGATACGTAAGCACTGCAGTTGGCCATAAAAAAATTATGACAGTTTATACACACATATGTATATTCGTATGATTCAAGTACGCAAAAGGCACCTGCGAATGGCGTTGAAAGTGCTTCAATACAACAAATATACATACATAGATATCTACCCAACTTTGCGCATGGAAACACACACATACATATAAGGATCAAAACTAAAAGCTCTTTTCATTCATTGCCCATTAATTGCGTGGCCTTTCCGCCTCTTTCGCTATCTGCTCCGTGCACGCATTATCTTTTACTAAATATTAAGTTGCTTGTGTTGAATGTTATCGCGCAAAAGTTGGAACAAATCAAAGAATTTTAAAGTGTAAGAAAACATTCCCGGCAGGATGTAGACAAAACTTCGAAATAGAAATCATTGCACAAAGGTCACAAGTAAAACCTAAATAACTTGATTTCCGCTCAAACCATATTTTATGTGTAATAAAAGTTATTTCTGGAAATTAGTGTTAATTGAAGACATGTCCATAGTTAGTAAATCGTGAAGACGATATCCTTTTCAATTTGAATGCTCCTTTCATTAGAAGCATTTTTAGAGGTTCATATTTGTTTATTTAATGCAGGCGATCCAAGGCTTCGCAAGAATGTTTTCTTGCCGGAATGCTCGAACGGGGACACTAGAGTCTTAAGAAAAACGACTATAGTTCATAATATGTTCGGGATCGATCCCTACAGTCGGCGACAATGGGTAGAAAGGGAAACCAAGGCTGGCGACGAACTAACACGCATACTTGTACATAAGCGGAAGAAGTGCGAGGAGCATGTGAAGATTTGTAATTTCACCTCTGCTGTGAGTAGGCTTTGGTCAACCGTGAGGTCACTGTCCAACCCGACGAAGTGTGACGACAGAGTGTAGGTGACCGCGCTTCGTCGGATCTGGAGCAATGCGCGAACTATTTAAGCCGGAAGTTCATGCTGCCAGTACCGAGTGCGCTTCATGTTTTCACGATCACGTCAACCGATTTCGATAATTCTTTTTTCATCGGAAAGGTAGTGTCTCCCTTACTAATTTGGTTTAGATCCGATCATTGTTTCATTTTTATATGAACATTTTTTACTTGTTCCAAATCGGTTTCAGCCGGTTTTTCTGTAATATTTTTAGGCGGATTTTTTGAAATTATGTATTTTCCGTCATCCCTTGACACATTTGGTTTGGAGACAAACCCGGTTTCGGCGTTGTGCCATCTTCAGTGTCATTTTTCCGGTTTTCTCCAACCCAAATTTGACAAAGGATGACGGAAAATCGTTCTACAATACATCGTGCTCATACCCTGGCGGAAACACCAACAACGAAAATGAGAAGATTTTTTGAAATCTTATTTTTTCCAATACCGAGTAAACCGGACTTTTAAAATTTAATAAACGGTTTTTTCAACTAGGATGTGCTGCCAAATAAAATGATTATTAAAAAAAAAAATATACTTAAATGAGTTTTAACCGACTTCACAAATAGGAGAAGGTTTTCAATTCGTCAGAATAGTTTTTTATTATTATTTTTATGTATGTTACCGCATAACTTTGGACCACCTTAACCGATTTTTATAATTCTTTTTTTTAGAGGAAAGGTGTTACTTTGCAGGTGGTTCCATATTAATGTGGTTTAAATCCGATCATTGAATCATGGAGAATTTAACGATAATCTAAAATTGTTTTAAGAAAATTCGGACCTAGTCCGAAAGAACTTTAACATGTCTTGCCTTCTAGTTCTGCCAACGCTTTTTTGTACTACATTTAGCACCAATGTAATCACTCACCTCTTTCCAGAGAGTTGATAAAAGCGATTGCCGTATGATTAAATTACTTTTTTTTTTAAATCTTTTTCGGTGAGTTTCTAACTTGCTCGCTTATGTGTATGTAGTTCTCTGGCTAATTGCACGCTTTCCAGTCGTCTACTATGTACTTTTTTTCTAATATTTTTATTTTTTATTATTTTATGTTTGCCATTCTCCTCTACACTTTTTTATACATGCCCAATTGGCCACAAAAAAACTTTTCACTTCAGTTTTAAGTTGCTGCATTTAACGATTTTTATTCTTCCATACACTTTCTAGTTGGTTTTCGGAGGAAAGGTACTAACTGGGTTGATTGGTAGAGCAGTGCACGTTTTTTTATGTTTGTAAATTCACTTCACACATGCGTTTTGTGGATTTTTCATATTTTCGGATTTATTTTTGATTTTTCGTGTTTGCTATTTTGTATTTTACTTTTTCCACTTTTTATCCTTTCTCTCTCTTTGTGCTTTTTAGTAATATGTATGTATGTGTGTAAGTGTGTTTTATTGACTTTCACGAAATGCGAATTCCCAAACTCACTTTATACACATGAATGTAAGTATGTGCACCACAAACATTCGCAACTACCAGGCGTTTATGCAGTAAAGAAGTTCCCACATGCTGCAAAAGTAAGCGCTTTGACTGTGAAAGAAAGCCGGTGTCGCTGTGGATAGGAAGTGTGTTGAAGCACTCTTCAGTGCAGCGTGTTGTTGTTTTACTGTTGTTGGTTGTGACGGTGCAGTGACGCGCCTTGTTGCATTGCTGCAGCTTCAATTGCTGCTCCTACAACTTTGGTTGCTCTTGTTGTTGTTGTTGTTGTTGATATTAAGCAGATGGGTAGTTAAGTAGTTGGTGTTGGCATTCCAGTTTGCCGTTGTTGCAGCTTACTTAGGTATAATGTATTGAATTTCAAGTATCAATTTGATTTACTAGCCCACTTTGTTTGTGTGTCGGTTGGCGATTGACAGCACACCGCACTACACCACTACGGCGTTTAAATTCCGCAACTTTGCAATGAAACAGTCAACTGCTCCTCGATCAACACACACGCGCTATTGAGTTCTCCACAACAACTTAACGCAAATCAAGTTGGCATATAACTTAGTACTTTACTAGGTATTATAACGGTCTCGTTGGTAAAATGCGCGTACGGCTCATTCAATATCACGTCGGCGACTAAAACTACCTGCGATCAGGTATATTGCGCTTTGCCACTTGCCAAACAGCGAAACAACAAAGCCAGCCAGCCAGCCAACCATCTATCCACTCAGCAAGTCAGCCAAGCAGCCAAGACGTCCAAGACATCGCCTGAATGCGATGCGCTGCCGCGTTGGCGAAGTCTCGCGCTCTTCATTCGCTGCTAATGCTGACGACGCCGTCGCTGCTGGGCTCCATTATACCAAAGCGCTAATTTGAAGCCGCCGCTGCCGTTGCCAGCGCTTTGGCTCAAGCTATCGTTGCGGCGCGGCGTGCGCTTTCGAAAATAAATGAAAAATCGCCGAACAGGTATTCATTCGGCTTGGCGAAGACTCAAAACGTATGCGCGCTAAGTCTTAAAATAAACATGAAAAATAAATGTAAAGAAACCGAAAACATCAGCGTTGGTGCAGTCGTCGACGTTGTCGTTTATGCACGTTGTGAGAATTTGCTCAAGCTGCTAACAGCTGCCGCAACACCGACGCTTCTGTCGACTTTTGCGTTATGTTAAAATTACTACAGCTGCGCGCATGCGCGTGTTCGCCACTCTGCTGCTGTTGCGGCAACCATAAACATTCAAAGCGCGCGCAGTTGGTTTTTGTTTTATTTTTAATTTTTTATTTTATGTTTCTCTATTTTTGTTTCTGTGGGCTTCCAGCCACAAAGCTATTCATTCAGTGTTACTTTGTTTGTACTGCCAATGCGCAGTTGTTGTTCTTAGCTGTTAAATAGTGGTTGGCACAACTTGACTGGCATGAAAATAAACAAAGCTGCGTTTGTTCGTACAAAGCGTGTCTTTTTTTTTCATTTTTAACGAAACAACAGCAATAACCCGACAGTAGATATTTGCCATTATAAATACTTGAAATTCTGCAACTACCTGCGATGCTGTTTTTTCCGTCGTCAATATTTCTGTTTAAATGCCAAGCTTTTGTTATGGCCTTTTCATATTCTATAGCACTAATAAAGTGTCAAAACAAGGCAAGGCTGCATACGATTACATGTTACACAAAGAAATATTGCTAGGCAATTTCAAATATTACTACATAATAGATGTCATACCTAGGTACTGTTACTTACTACAGGAACTCTAGTGGACTGGCAGTTTGAGACGAGCTTTAGTCTTTCCTTTGGAAATGGGCTCAACATTGGAACTGTGGACAATGGGCGCACAAATTATATCAGAGTCTGTGGTGAAAGCCAGGCCACAGAAAATTCACGTGCTTCTCCAAAATTTGTCATAGAATAAGTGTATGTTGTGCCCGATTTTTGCTGTGTAGGGGAATATGCTTCAGTCGCGTCTAGCCAATAGCTACGCTGGCTCGTTTGATGCAAGATGGATTCGTTAAATGTATCCAGCCACCATAGGATGATTGAATAAGACCGCAGATGTTCGCAATTGGGCCATTCTTTCGTGTGCTGTGTGGCAAGTGGCAACGTCCTGTTGAAACCAAATATTGCTCATGTCCATTTCATCTAATTCAGGCCATAAAAGTTTGTTATCGTGTCATTATTTTCGAAGGACTACGGTTCGATGACTCCGCGAGCCCAAAAACCACACCAAACAATGATTCGCTATGGATGCATGGGATTTTCTTGCGGTGGATGCAGTTAGCCTTGTTAACGTATCCGATTAGGTGAATATGTGTCTCATCGCTCCTGAAGTTTTATTTTTATTTTTAAACGCGTTTTTTTTACGCGTTTTTCAACTGAGTATCGTTTCATGACTAAATTTTCCAAAGCCTACAGTTCTGAAAATAAATAAACGTTAATATATCACAAATAATTGCTGTCAGCGATATGCATCACCCCAAAAGACAAACTGCTTGTACGAAATCATGTTCAAGTAGAGCTCTCATCAAGACCTAAATAAAGTTATCCATGAGGAGCTACTTAGTTGGACCTGCCGCTTTTCAATGGAAGAATGGAATGGAATCTCGAATCGATACAAACCAAGCAAGCGGAGGTAATGGTAGTAAACCGAAAACGAGTAAATATTTTTCAGAACTTTTTTTCTACTTGGACACTAATCGCACCCCATGCACTAGAAAAATACTCAACACTTGGCCTGCAGAACGAACTATAATTTATAGTCCAATGGATTGAGCTCTGGGCTACCGGATGGCCAATCAATTAGCCGTAGAAATGGATTTCGGAACATGATTTTGCTTCGTGAGATGGCGCGAAGTCCTTTTTGAAACAGAGCACACGTAGTATGTACAACCTCCCGCCGTGTTTACTGAACAACCTTTGTAAATTTTTGCGTCAGTGAACCGACTTCATCTGCGATCATTTTGCAATTCTTTTGTGAGTAAGTGCCTGGGGTGCGTCTAGGGTTGCCAGAGTTTCCAGATGTCCGGTTGTTGACTGGACCGTGCGGATTTTAGTCTGTTCCTCCGGATTACAATAAAAAAGAACGGACTGTGAAGTTTGTGATCTGTTTAAATAAACACATACAAAACCCGCCACCCCCTCTTTCCCCTCCCTTGTTTGAAAAAAACTGGCAACCCTGGGTTTGTCTTAAATATGCTGAGTGCCTAAGTCTTGTTTCATGATGCGCTGATATTTATTTCCCGGAATACTATTTTCTGCCGACCAATTCTAGTCTCCACGGATTTAGGGCGCAGATGACCTGATTTTCAACGAACGATTATTCCACCAGTCTCTTCGAATAACTTCACGGTGCGATAAAAAAACGATTGATTTTCAGTAACTGCGATTGTCAAACCAACCACATTTCATGATTGCAAAAAACTTACATAAAAAATATAATATATTTTAACCCAGATACAAATTTCCTCAGCGGATAAACCGTGATCTATATGGAATTCTCAACAAGCTTATGAAGTGTGAAAATCTTTGGCTTTTTAAAAATAATTCAAAAGTCAAACAGCGAAAATGAACATAGTCTATAATTCTCATCGAACTTATGTCAAATTGTGTATAGGGAATGGCGATCGCTGGCTTTTCGAACGACTAATACATAACATAGACCAATTCACCTAAATACTTAACCCCTTATTTTACCGTAATATTTAATATTTACGTAAATCATTTAGTTATTTTATAGGTTTGGAATAGCTTTAAAATACAATGCATTCTTATTTTTTGCATTTAAAATACTTTTAAATATAAATCACTACCGGGGTACTGTATGAAAAATTAACAGGTTATCTTTCAGGGTTTCAAGGATAGGAAATAGAAGAAAGGAATTCTTGAATGGTAGATTTAAAAAAAGTTGAAAATCTGGAATAGCCTATGCAAGAAAGTGGAAAACTTACAGTGTACCATAACGCAATAACTGGTATTTTAAATTCCACAACAGCTGCGGCAACAATCCAACCAGCGAGAGCGTAAAGAATGACTGGCATGCTAAAAATGACGGCAGCCGGCAACAGCGACCAATAATAATAACAACGACAACGGTAGCAATAATGCCAATAAAACACACGAAAAACTCAAGCAACAGCTGCAGCGTTGACCACAACAGCAGCGCGCGCAGCTCGAAAAAAGAAATTTTAAGCATACATATTTACGTATCTACTATAGTTTGTATATTTTCGTAGCCAAATTGTACGTAAGTATATACATATGTAGATACGTACGTATTTATTAATTTGTAGTTTGGAATCCAGTTACGAGTTGTTCAGGGCGCTGCCAGCAGCCACTGTCGATCTAACAGCTAAAGGTGAATAACAAATTACTGAGCTTGTAAATTAGTGAACGGTTGTACTGGGCATACTGTGCAAAAAGAAACACAGGTTTTTACTATGCAGGGAAATTGACTGACCCATTCTTTAAGTAAGTAAGATATTATAGTAAAACATAACACAACACAACATAGATAACATAATAGATATAACATAACATATTATAACACA